CCCAGCCCCGACCGCTAGGCCCGCGCCACGTCCCGCTGATGCCGCCTCTCGCTTGCTCCGCGGCCACACCGCTGTCGCCGCACTCGGCGTGCTCCAGGACACCAGAACCGGACCTCTCTGGGCTCTGACTCACTGTTGCGGGGGCGACAAAGGGCGGCGCAGGGGGAAGACTCCCACATGCGGGACTGGATTTTAGGCAGGGTTTAAAACTCAGCTCCCCGGAGATATGGGAATAGGGAGGTGGTACTAGGGGTTGGGAGCATATGTTTTCATAGACTGTTTGGCTAGGTCTTTTTAAAAAAATAAAGAATACCTCAAATTTAACTTGTTAGTGACAAAGGACACAAATACGAGTGGAGCTGGAGCGATCACCGCTCACGTATGCGACACCCCGGCGGAACTTTTACTCCCCTTCCAGATCCTGGAGCCCATACGCCACCTTCGTATAGTCACATGCCCTTCATTCTCACCCCGGCACACGCCCGGCCCCACCCACCCTGTCCGGCCCAGGCGGCGCCCACCACACACCTCTGCCTTTGCACAACTCGTGCAGCGCGCGCCCTGGATTACACACCTGCAGAATCCACGGGGTTCCAAACAGCCCGCCTCTAGCAGAACTCAGGAAACCCCACCTTTGCATGCGTGGTTTTAAAAGTTAAACAGTTTGTGATACGGGGATTCGGTGTCCATGCTTAGTGTAGTTTGAGGATTCTTACGAGATAAAAATCATCCAAGGCTTTCGTGTTCATTTAATTAGGGGCTCCCGAAGAAGAAAAGGGAGAAGATAAGTGCTGAATTTATAAGGATTGATGATAGGGGGATTTTAGGGGAGTTTTAGTTTTACTTCCGTTTATAGAATTTTACCATTGGGGATTTTTTTTTCATTCTCTGTACACACTAATTTATTTTTCCTTTAATCTTATAGGAGTATGAGACTTCTGCTGACTGGGTTTGTGGGTGTCCCATGTGCCCCGGCAGTTCAAACTTAGCTCAGAAAGCATTTTTCTTACTAAAAAAGCATTTTCTTACTGAAATGAGTCATAATTTTATTAAATGGTGAAGCACATAGGTTTCAAGACTTTATCTGGTGTTTTAAACTTTGTTTCTTAAAAGTTGAAATATAGTCTAAAACCTTATCAAAAATGTTAGTTGCTAGTAAGGTTTTAGAATTCCTTTCTTCCTGAGGAAAAAAATAACATGAAACAAAATTATTGTGATGTATTTTAGTTCACAATTCTGAAAGACAAGTCATTTGCAAGTTAATATATTTTTAATGTTTATTTCTAGATTCTTTA